TTTTTTTTTACATTCGGTAGACTTCATTTTTTGTTTGGTGAATAGCGGATAGACTTCATTAAAAATATAATTTTTAAACTAAATTTATTTTTATTTTTTTAATATAAACTAAATATATATACCATGCATATTTGCAGCATTACTTACTTTAAAAAATTGACTAATAAAATAAAATAAAAAAAATTCAAAAACAGCGGCATTTAAAATAGACAGGAAGTCAGGAACGTTGATCATTGTTCTTATCATCATTATAGAAGAAAAAAAATATTTATCTAGTAAATCATCACTCCTAACTCAACTTTTAGTCTAACAATTTTACAAGGACATTCAATTGAAATAAAAATAATATAAAGAGTACATTGACGGAAAGAACATTTTCCAAACTTCTATAGGGTAACCAAATGGCTAATTCAACCAATAGTAGTGTAAAAGTCCACCATAAAGAATTTCTTAATTGCCAAATGTATGTTGGGGGCTACTCTATCTCAAGTCTCAACCACAAAGGTCAAAAGCATACCCTACACTTTCTCTCTCCTAATTTTAACTCCCTAACTTCTATGACCCACAACAAACTTAGATTCCATAGTCGTTCATACATATAATATAACTAATCTCTATATTTTCTATACTACGTATATTCTTCAATTAATTTCTTTTGGTTTCGAGATGGATACACAGCTAGCCAAAATTCAATATTTGTTAGTATAAAAGATTATACCGTCAAATGATAAGAAATTATTTTTGGTATGAGTTTTAAAGTGACAAATATTTTAAAATGTGCATTGCACAAATAAATATTTATTTATATAATTAAAATTTATAATAAATAAATGTTTTTAAATATATAATTAAAATTTACAATAAATTACATCTTAGATTCATGATAAATAATTTAAATTATGATGCAACATTTCTTTTCATTAATTATTAATATTTTTGAAAGATAAATTGAAAGAGATAAATATTAAGGAAAATTCTAAAATTATTTTCACAAAATAAAAACTGCTATATATATATATATATATATATATATATATTATAATTAGATGAGAATTTTTTCATCAATAAAAAGCAGAATTTTAACTTAAGACAATGTATATACTCCTCTAACTCCATCACTAAATTGATTATAATATTTAAAATTATAATTAAATGAAAATACAAATTCTTTATATGATCGGTATATAAACTATTTACGCAAAACCATGTTATGTTCTAAGAAATTCTTATATAAGTTATCATGATTTACACAAACATTTAAATTACAGTTGGCAATCACAAAGCATACTTTATGAAAAAATTGTATTTAACTATAACTAATTATATAACTATCACAAACATTAAATTAAGGGTTTATAAAGTGCCCCACCAAAGAATTTCTCCAACTATAAATATGCATTCCTTGGAAGACTTGCCTCTTTAGAGCTGGCCACCAAACCCCACTAACCACATCATTTCTCATCTTCTTTCACTTCTTGCCTTTCTCAAAGGAAATTAATTAATTAAAGCCATTCATAGCTTCAATGAGTTCCATAACCAAAGCTCCTCCTTCCTCTAACGACACTGAAGAGAGTGGTTGGACCACGTACTTTGATGACTTCTTCAACAACCATGTTGATAACAAGTGTTCCATGTCTCTATCCGGTGTTGCTTGTAATTCCTCCCTTAATGTCTCCGATGCTGCCTCTTTGGTAGAGAAAAAAGTGAGTCATATCAAACAAGTTGATGATGAGTTTTGTGTGAAGAAAAATGTTAAGAGGTCGAGTTTCAAGAAGAGCATAACGACTTTGATTGATGATGCTTTGGAAGACACGGCAACTTCTCCTCTCAATACCGCCAAGGTTCATTGATTAATTTTTCTTTGGATCTTTCTCCTTTTTCCTTACATTATTGCTATTTTTTTTTCTAGTTAAAGTTATTGGTTATTTATAGTTCTATATTGTTGTGTAAGTCTATAATTTATCCGTGGTGTTTTAGGTTTTGTATGCGAACCAGAAGATTGACAAGGCAAACAGACAGAAGTAGTATAAACCTTTTTCTCAGGTTCAGTCGAATTCACATAAATATACAATATATATAACCGTTTCTTTATTTTTTCTTCTATTGTAAAATCAAAGGAAAATGCATATATATATATATATAAGAATTACGTAAACAAACTTATTATTAGCATCTGACCACACGGGGATATAATGATTTTTTTGTGTGTTATCATTAGTTTCATCTGTTTATATAGTAAAATTAAAATGCATTACTTTTTAAACTTTATGTCCCATTTTTATTTTATTTTTAAAATGCATCAAATATGTATGAAACAGAACTTTTATGTTGTTATATACAGTCCATCTGGTTCAAACCTCTACCAAAGACTGTAATTAACATCAAACCAAACTAGTTAATTGCATTACTTCTTTTTTGCCTTTTCCTTATACCTTTCCTATTGCTGAAATTAATCTCTTTGTAACTCAGTGGTGTATTCTTTCAAACATGCATCAACTAACAAGTCACCAATTTGTTAATTTGGTCTCTGAAGGAGAACGACAATACCTCAGGACAAAGAAATGAACAAAAAGAATTTATTAATGGGAGTGATAGTGTTTGCATTTGCACAGAACTAACGAAGAAAGGCCTTTGTTTAGTTCCTCTGTCAATGTTAGCCAACTAGCTGAGTTAATCATTTAGTGCGTGTTTGGTGTGTTTGAAAATTATTTGAAAAACAAGAAATCACATATATGATGTAGAAGTTACAATTATTAGCTTCTCTGAACGTGACATTTGAGATAAGGAACCAAACACACTATTAGTATTATGTTAAAGGTTTTTATTGTATAAAAGAAAATGTATTAAAGAGTATATATTACTAACTATTTTCTTTCTGACCAAGTAGAAAATCATGCTTGGACATGTTGATATATATATAAAATGAATTGAATTTTTTTCTATACTATGGCAAGTCCTATGCAATAGTATATAGTAAATTATTACTAGTTTTTACACTGAAACATACCTGTGTCTAATGTCTATATATTCTGCTGAAAAGCACAGACGAAACATGAGACACGTAAACCATAGAAGGGTGGGAAGATGAGGTGATGAGTAAGCTGAATAAAAATAATAAGTAATAAGGAAACGAAAGGACTATCATTTTACTCTGACAGGGAGAATCCAGAATCATCAGCATACTCAGATTGTATGTGTCTCCTTAAAAATCTCTTGCAAATTATCATCCATTAAAGGATTTTTTTGTAACTTCAACTGACCAATTTAATGCATTCTTTATCATTTTCTATGTAAAGTGCTGTCTTTTGTGGACAATATGCATGCACGATCTAAAAATAAGAGGTCAAAAAAAAAAACCCATAACTTTGTGGTTTTTATAGTCTTTTTTTTCTATATATATATATATTGCTTCCTCAATATAATATATATCAATAGTTAATTATATATATACCTTAATTTTATTACGATATTATAATCATAAATGTACCTGCTTGGTAAGTACTATCTTTTATAACGGATTAATTAATGATCTCCACCTAACAATAGCAAAACTTTCATATCAAGGATGGGTAAAAAAAGAAAAGCAAGATGATAATAACATCACCAAAACTTAACCCCAAGAAGGCCGGCCATGTTAGATAATTGAATCCTAATCTAGTGTCATTTGGACCATCTATATTATTTGGATATTTGTAAGGGAAAGGAAACATATTTCCAACTAATAACAACTTTAATGAAGAGTAAATTATATTATACTTGTAATCTGAATTTTTCATATGCAAGGCCAACAATATAAAATTTTGCAGTAATATCTGTTATATTGATAAAATATTTCAAATAATTATATTAATATTAATTAACATTACATAAAATAGCATTAACATGATTTTTTTTTTAATAATGGTCACACTAGATTATAACCTGTAATCTTATCTTATGTATATTATAACGCTACCATGGTCAAACAATGTAAAATGAAAAAAAAAAAAAAATTCTGCATATTGGTTAACCATATGCTTGACTAGTTCATTACTTCATCATTCTATCAAGAAATAGTAAGATGTATTAATAGAAGGTATTGTTTATCAATTAGGTGCGTTTGCTTTATAATCATTGTTGTTTAACAAATCGTAAACGTACAGAGCTAAAAACCATGCAAGTAATTATAGTAAGATATGTATTTCTTGAAAACATTGTTTATTAATTAGGTGCGTTGGTTGCTTTACAATCATTGTTTGTTTAAGAATCGCAAATGTACAGAGCTAAAACCATGCAAGTGATGATATCAAGTTCTTCTCTTCTTCATTTATTGTATGCTTAAATTAATTTATTTCATATTTAAAATAATTTATAATTAAAAGTTTACTGAAAAGATTTTTTTCTTCTAAAAGTTGATGCAGTATAAAATAGCTATAAGCTTATATGTTGAAAGAAATTTATAACCTATCTATATATATATAAGAAGAGATATATTTATTTTAAGAGTAATTCTTAATAAAATTACTACTGATCAATAATTTATAACCTATATTAAATTTCAATAATCTAACTATTAAATTTAAATTTTTTGATGAATAGATTAAGTATATAAAATTTTATAAAATCTGAAAATTATTTAATACTTTGTTATATATATTTAAATTAATGTATAATATATTTTTTAAAATATATATTAATTTGAATTAATATAACGAAATATTAAATAAATTTCAAATTTTATTAAAATTTTTATATTTGATCTACTAGTTAAAAACTCTTAATTTAATAAATGAATTGTTGAAATTTAATATAATTCATAAGTTATTAAGTAGAATAATTCTATCTTGAGATAAGTGAATCATTTTCTCTTATTATATATATATATATATAAAGCATCTTCCATCTATTTAGAATTAAAGAAAAAATCGAGATTAGAATTGTGTATCTAATAAGAGAGGGGGGGGGGGGGGGGGGTATATTCTATCGTGAGATAAGTGAATCATTTTCTCTTATTATATATATATATATATAAAGCATCTTCCATCTATTTAGAATTAAAGAAAAAATCGAGATTAGAATTGTGTATCTAATAAGAGAGGGGGGGGGGTGGTCTATATGTATTCAATTCTAGCTATATAAGAAATTGAGGAACAACTATGACTAGCTATCATAAATTGGATAGAACTAAATGATACAAAAATATATTTTTATGATGCCCAATTGATCATGAGTCATCCACAATAAAAGTCTAGTTGTAATTAATTTTATCAACTAGTTAAGTGTTGTGATTAAATTAACACTAACACTCTCCATCAGTTCCTTTTTAATTGTTAACTAACTTTTTAGAAGATTTTTACTTTTATATATTTATTATTTTTAATGTTAAAGACAACATTAATTTTTTTTAATTATACCCTCACTTTTATCTAAATTTTTTTTATTAATTTACACGTTTGCAATTAATGTACATTTATTGTAAAGTAAAAAAGAAAAATGGTTTAATAAGAAACTTCAAAACTATTTTATGAAAAAAAAAATAGCATTTCTTAATTTATGTGTAAAAAAATTCTAAATAATTGATCAATGTTAAACTACAAATAAATAATCCAACATCATCTCCCTATTTAGACATATGAAACTATTATATATAACTAGAGTATCAACTACCGTCAATGCAAGTCCAGGAAATAAACATTAACAGTTAAGATGGTATCCAATTAATAAGGATACATATATCATACAGATTAAAATAATGGAGGAGAGAAGAATAATACTATCAACCAATCATTTACTGTGATTAAACTAATAATCTTTATAATCAATATATTTAATAATTCAAAGAAAAAATTCTAAATAATAAAATGATATTAATTAATCCACAAATAAGTAATCCAAAACCCTTTTTCTTTTCTATATAAGAAGGGTTTGAACCAACGTCCAACAACTCTCCCAATAATAAATAAGAATTATATAGCAAGGGGCTTGGAGAAGAGAGAATAGAATTAGAATAATGCAAAGAAGCAACAAATATTTATATGCACGAAACTAGCTCTCGTTGGATCGGTAGGTAACATCCCAAGATACGAAGATATTTCCAACCAAGCAAGCATGAAGTAGGGGCAATGGAAGGGAACACATTAAAGGCAAATTGGCCAAACTATTCTGATTATGATGCATAAGTAACTAACTTTTTTAGGTGTAGGTAGCAAGTTTAGTAACTTTAAAAATGATTAGAAACTTTAAGGAAAATTTGGCATCATATGAGACTGTCATCATTGCCTTTCCTAGCCCTATTTTGGCTACGCCTGGTTTCCTTTAAGTCTAGAGAGAGAGAGAGAGGCCAAACAGAACATTAATTAGATGCCCATATATTAAAAATATGTGCCATGCACCTAACACAATAATTTTCTTTTGGTTTTGGATTGACTTTATCATTTAAATGGCTATTTTCCAGTTGGGAAATTCTCGTAGCATTCAACTTAACTTTTTATTTTGTCCTTGATGAATCGTTTCACTAAACAAAAGAATATACTGAACTTAGACAATTAATTAATAGACACAAAAAGAATGATGGATTAGATAAATACGGGGATCAAGTAATAAGAGGTTTTTTTTTTAATTTAATTAGCAGTTTTGAGTTTAATATTTTAAGTATGTAATTATGTTAAATATTTGAATGAAAAATTTTGTTGTTCTAGTAATTCTTTTAACTTGAACATAATTGGTTAGTGAAAAGTATTTGTGATCCATTAAAAAAAATCAAATTTGAAGAGGTTTCCTGCACTAGTAAACTAAATTGCAACATTAATTTATTGCATACCCTGAAAAAAAAAAAAAAAAAAGTGGTGGTTTTTTCAAACCAATTTACTTACAGTTCCGGCGCATCTACTTTGCAACATATAATAAAGTTAATAACGTACTTAATTTGCTTTGTCAAACCAATGTGCTTGTCCCATATCTATACTATATATAAATAGGATATCAATTATGCAGCAACTTTTACTCTTCACATTTTATTTAATCGTTATTATACTCTTCAATTGCTTAAAAAAAAAGTAAAAACAAATTAAGATTTTTTTTTTTTTTTTTATAAACAAACATCTTCCTTCACATTTTTCTCACTCTTTCAACAATCATTCACTAAATTATCTTTCTTTCTATTTTTTTAAATAATATCTTAAAAAAATATTAGGTTCAACTTCAAGAGTCCGCATTGTGGAATAGTGAGAACTGAATTTCATTACTTATACATTTCATTTAAATAATGTACCTTATTGACAGTCATTTTTACAGACAAAACAGAATATTATCAACAAAATATAATGTTAAAAAACACACACACACACAAGAAGTGTCAACTTAAGAGATGTGGCCTGTGCCTTATAGATGATTATATAATTATTAATAACTTTTTAATTAAAATATTTGTTTCATTTCAAATTAAAACAAAATATGATACTAATAAATTAAATAAAATGATATAAGTACAATTATTTATAAGAGAGGCAAAAAAAACTATTATCTTAGTTCGATAGGGAGTTTCCCTATTCTGGCATATCGATTCTTCAATGCAAAATATATGAAATTTAAAGCTATGTAGCTCTGGAATAAAAATGTTTAGAATTTGAAAGTTTTGTGAGGAAATTGAACAATTGAATTAAGTAGAATCATGATTTATAGCATGTCATTAGTTTCCGGTTGAGTAATGATGGATACCATCTCCTCTAAACTGTTTTTATTCATAAGAGAAAAAAAAAAAAAAAAAAAAAAAAAAAAAAGAGAGATAGTTTTTCTACAGTCAAAAGGAATCATAATTTCTCAGCAAAATTAACTCTTTATATATTAAAGAAGTAAATGTAATCACCGGAGAGGGGGGCTTAGTGTCATGATTAAGAAAGCAGTTTATAAGCAATTATATTTGTGAAATTCGTATTCGAGAAACAAGATATAGCATTTTGAAATTCAAAGGAAACATCCTACTTTCGCGTGAAAAGATAATTATCAATATTTGGGTAATTAAGTAAATATTGGGCTAAAAACCTATTTTGCTCCCTTATAATAATTAGGGGTGGACAAAAAAAATTGAACTGAACTGAACTGGTAGTGAATTGAACTGGACTATACTATAAAAAAATGAACTGTTTGTAAAAAAAACTGAACTGAACTATTTAAATTGAACTGAACTGTTGAAAAGTTAACTATACTGAACTATAAAACTGAACTGAATTATAAAAATTGAATTATTTTTATAAAATGATAAAAATTAAATGTGTCTAACATGTTATGTCTTAATGGATTAACTCGATAGTCTAATAACCAAAACTTTAGAAAAGAAAGTGATAAAAAAATTGTATCAAATTTATCGAACCTAACAGATCAATTAAGCTACTTATTTTTAGGCTTAAAATTCACTGAGTTTGTTTGACTTAATTTTATATTTTTTCTTTGAAAAATGTAACTAAAATGGAAAATAAAGTAAAGTTAGCAAATGTGTCCTATTTTGATAGATCAATGAGTCAAAATTGTTCAATTCAAAATATCATAACAGCTCAGTGCAGTTTAAATTGCAATTTAGTTCAAGTTTTTATAGTATAGTTAAGTTCAGTTCAATGATACAAAAAAATAGTTCAGTTCAGTTCGTTTAAACTAATATTTAGTTTAGTTCAGTTTATGAGAATTACTTTTAAGTTCAATATAATTTTTATAAGTTCAGTTCAGTTCAGTTCATTTTGCCCACCCTTATAATAATTGTTTGTTTCAATTTAGTCCCACTTTTATTTTTTGTTTCAATTTGGTCCCTAATAAATTAATTAGTTGCAATGTCGGACTTCCATTCAAATTATTTAAACAGAGTTAATTGTTGGCCACATAGATGCCACGTGGATTCCAAATTTCATTAATGCATTCTGGAACCAGAACGGGCCGTTCTGGTTCCAGAATGCCAAACACAAACGGTCGATGATTATAGTTCACAGTTGTGAATCGTGCAAGGAAAAAGACCCAAGGTACAATGTATCATTAAGGATAATGCAGTATATCATTAATGGTAGCAAGTTTTATTTCATTGTTGGTCAAACTGGAATGAACCATTTACTACCAAATTGACACTATACAGTCAAGAATGAAACGACATGGGTATTTCCCCTTGAAGTCATTGACCGATGTACCCCAACAACAACAACCTGTTCTTGAGGAGGTACAACCTGAAGTAAAGGAAGAGGAAACACATAACCAACATTTCACCACATAACTACATGTACATGTAGATAATGCTGATATCCTATCAGTCATTCAGTGTTATATGATGGATAAGATGTATTGTTGACACCTTCAGCATTATCCAGATGATTTCCCTTCTTAGTAATTTCTTTGAACTTTTTTAGTATATGTTATTATGTTATGAATTTTTGTTTTCAGTTTCTGAACCATATTTCTGTCTTTGAATTTATGATATTTTATGAATTTTTATTTTCAATTTTTGAATCATATTGCAACATTTTGTTGAACGTACCTATGTGGTTGGCGTTTTGGAACGGCCCGTTCTGAATCCAGAACGACCCGTTCTAAAACTAGAACGGCCCATTCTGCTGCACTCATGGTGTGTTAATTTTGCATATGGAATGGCCCGTTCCAAATTCAAAATTAACACACAACATGTGCAACCAGAATGGGCCGTTCTGGTTCCAGATGCATTAATAAAATTTTGCATCTACGTGGCATCCACGTGGCCAACAGTTAACTCCGTTTAAATAATTTGGATGGAAGTCCGACATTGCAACCAATTAATTTATTAGGGACCAAATTGAGACCAAAATAAAAATGAGACTAAATTGAAACAAACAATTATTATAAGGGACCAAAATAGATTTTTAGCCTAAATATTGCAAATATTTTAGTTGATCTCTAACTTAAAAGCTATGTTGCACAGATACAACACGAGACTAGCGTGTCTCCAACTTTGACACTTTTTGGGAGCCAACATGTCATGGACACGCCATGTGTATCCACAAAAATTAGACATGTTTCCATTGTGGACACCAACAAAAATGACGTATTTTCATCATGAACACTTGTAAATGAATATGTTTCTATCTCGAAGCACTATCCAATATATAGATTCAAGATTTTGTTTTAAAAAAAATCAATCTCGATAAAAATAAAAACAAAGAAGGAAGGATTTAAGATTTTTTTTAAAAAAAGAAAAATAAATAAACCCTAATAAAAATATATTAAAAAAAAGGAGAATTTAAGAATTTTTTTTAAAAAAAGAAAAAAATCTCAATAAAAATAAAAATAAAGAAGAGAGGATTTGAGATTTTTGTAACAAAAAGAAAAGAATTTTGATAAAAACAAAAACAAGGAAGAGAATTATTCTCATCTTTCCTTACTTAACATTCACGTAATATAAAAAAAAATATTAATAAAAATAAAAATAATGGAAGAAATATTTGAGATTTAAAAAAAAAGAATTTTTTTGTTATAGAATATGATGCCTATTAATAATTTACTTTTTAGACTTACTAATTTATTGTCATATCAATATATAATTTCTTTTGTCATGTTATTTGTATTATATATTATATATATGTTGTGTCTTATAATTTTTAATTTTGTTGTATCTCCATGTCCATGTCCTTATGTCGCGTCCGAATACGTTAATCGAAGTAATTTAATATACTTGTATTTTTTAATTAAAGATCATTATTTGATTTTTTAAAAAATATAAAGTCATAATTGAAGATACTGAATTTCTATAATAATTGAACTAATAAAATGGAGTTATATTACTTTATCAAATTAAAAAAAAAAAAAAAAGGGTTAGCTTCCATAAAACTCAATTGGTGAAAGTGCATGTGGAAAACAATTGGATGAAAAATATTGCAAATATTATGAAATGTAAAGTCGGATGCATCCCTTTTCAATACCTTCAGTTACCTATCGGGTAAAAACCAACACGAGAATCTAATTCACACAAGGTTGGAAGAAAATCATCAATGTAGAGGAGTCAAAATTTATTGTTTGGTGGTCTAGGGTGCTCTTAAAATATGTCTTGACTTTTTTACCGATCTATTTTCTCTCTAATATTTTCAAGGCACTGTCGTAATTTATCTCTAAACTTGTTTTATTCAACAAAATTCTTGTGGAGAGTGGATCAGGATTAACAAAAAGCTTACTAGGTGGCATGTGACAAGACTTGTAAAAAGAAAGAAATGGATGAGTAAGGAATTAAAAAATTGAAGGCATTTAAATTGTTCAACATGGTGGAAACACACTCCATATATATAAAGCCTCAGGTTGGCAAGAACACTAGTTGAAGGAGTTTGTTGTGATTATGAGGTATTACAAAAGAAAGAGTCTCACATTTTTTTTTGTAACAAGTAAAATATGTGTTTATATACTAAATAATTTCTAACACTAGTCAAAGAAACAAGCAATGAATCATGGACTCGTGCTATGGGTCTCGTGAACCTAGGAAATTGTATCTGACTTTTTGTTTAGTGTTTGCATGGATATGAAATCTGTTTTGACCTCAAAATCTACCTTGTTAAATTCATTAACATATAAAATAAAATAAAAATGCATCGGTGACTAAGTTAGGTGGGTGGATGAAGTGGAAGTGGACTTGGCTTTGGAGTTTAGAAAGGGGGAATATTGCTTTCAATTGAAGGCAGAGTTGTTTATTGATCTCCAACAATTTTAGTGAGAAATATACTTACAAGAGAATGATAGTGATAGTTGGATATTATTGGAGAATCCAACACCCATGCCTATTTTGTGAAAACAACTTATAGGGTACTAAGGCTTGGAAACAATGTTGAAATGTTGTTCTGCAAAAAAGAGTCTGAAATAAGAACATCCCGTTGAAGTCTTGAATGAAGATCGTTGGTCTTGCTTAGAAACTTAAATCTGCAAAATAAAGTTCCAAATTCCAACTAAGGTAAGCCTATGGGCTATGAGGTTTTAGGCTTCAATTGGACCTTATATAATGGAAACCCAATTAGAATGCCACATTAAAGGTTTTGGGCTAATGCAGGGAAGTAATGTTCATAATGATGTTATTCTACAAAGTCTGGAAAAATAATGTTGATCATCCAACAATGAAGTTATACACAAAAAATTTCCATACAACATAAGGTAGACAAATTGGTTGAAAATTACTCTATACAGTCTTAAATAAATGGAGGGATTGCGATTGAAATATGTATGGATATCAATAGGTTTTGGAGATAGTGATTTATGGGTAATGAATCAATTACTAATTTTTTTCATAAAATTAGATGTATTTATTAGACTACTAACAATATAAGTTATTTTCATTATTTGAAAAAATTATTTCTTAATTTATAAATAGAGTAATTAAATATAAATTAAATTATATTTTAGTCTTTTATCTTATTTTTTTAGATTAAATTAAACCCTAATCCAATATTAATAATTTAAAATTAAATTAAATAATAACTGGTCGACTAAAAAATACCTATAGTACATATAAAAATAACAAATTAACTAAAGTAATTTCAAATTCAACTATTTGTCAACTTTAAAATAACTTTGAAAATTTGTGGTCTGAAGGACAGGCCCATGGCCCAAATTAAATGAAAGGGATAGTGTCCAAATGGAAGACCCCCCAACTTGACCAAAAATTTCGGTGTCTCCGACACAAGCACATGTCAACGCCACCACACGCCTCCTAAGCCTCACCGTGCGAGGAGGACGAGGATGTTGCGTGCACCGTTGAACCTCACACTCACGAAACCCAAGTCACCATGTCATGGTTCATCGTCTTTCTCTTTTTCCTTTCAATTAGATGCTGTCAACCTTGTATATGCTTTCATTTCATTTATCTATGTAAATTAAAACTCATAATATTCTCTGTAATGCCACCGCTTCATTTTATTTTTACCATTCATAAATGTGTAGCAAATACTAATGCTAATAGGCATGTAAGCATGTTCTTGTTGCTTGATGCTGCTGTGTTAGTGGTTTTTTTTTTTTTTTTTTTTTTTTTTTTTTTTTTTTTTTTTTT